TTTTTGGGGCTAAACCCGCCGGTTTTTATTTCTGTGTCCCCTTGTGGTGACTTTGAGTTCCCCTGGGGGTTTTGGGGTCCCTGGGGGGGGGGGGTTTTGGGGTCCCTAGGGGGAGTCACCCCCCCTTTTTTCCTCCCCTAATTTTGGGGGTTCCTTCAGGAATTGGGGAATTCCCTGGACAAGTGCAAGAATAACGAGAACGTGCAGCAGATCCTGACCAACGCCACCATCATGGGGGTCAGCGTGACGGCTTCCACCACCCAGGGGTCAGCGGGGCCCCAAAATATTTGGGGAGGTGTTTCTTCTTTTCATATTTCCCTCCATTTCCTCCTCACATTTTTCTCCTTTTCCCCTCACATTTCCTGCCCTTTTCCCCTCACCTTTCCCACCATTTTCCCCTCACGTTTCTCCCCCTTTTCCCCCTCACCTTTCCCGCCCTTTTCCCTTCACATTTCCCTCCATTTTCCCTTCACATTTCCCACCTTTTTCCCCTCACATTTCCCTCCATTTTCCCTTCACATTTCCCACCCTTTTCCCCTCACATTTCCCATCATTTTCCTCTCACCTTTCCCACCATTTTGTCCCTTCACGTTTCCTGCCTTTCCCCTCACATTTCCCACCCTTTTCCCCCTCGCATTTTCCTCCATTTTTCCCCTCGTGTTTCCCACCCTGGGGAGGTCTTTGAGGGGGCTGGGAGGGTCCCTAAAGAAAGGTTCATGGGGTGGGGGGCCTGTTTTTTTTGGGGGTTCTGTTTCCTTTTAGGGTCTGTTTAGGGGATGTTTGTAGCCCCCCTTGGTCCATTTTGGGACCATTTTGAGACCATTTTGTGCCCTTGGGAGCCTTTCCCGGGGCACGGGCGGGTTTGGGGGTCCCAGGGTGGGTTGCGGGGGGGGGTCTCCCCTAAATCTTACTGCTCTTTTTTCCCCGATCCCAGGCAGCAGCTGTCAGAGGAGGAGCTGAGCCGGATCAAGGACGCCTGTGACATGGCCCTGGCCCTGAGCGGGGCCAAGCTCCGCATCTACGAGTACGTGGAGTCCCGGATGTCCTTCATCGCCCCCAACCTCTCCCTCATCCTTGGGGCCTCCACGGCCACCAAGATCATGGGTGAGACCCCCCAGAACCCGTCCTGGGACCCTCAAAATCCACCCCCCAAAACCTGCCCCTCAGGGACCCCAAAACCCACCCCAAAACCAACCATAAGGGACCCCAAACCCCCCCAAAGTGCTTCATCGCCCCCAACCTCTCCCTCATCTTCGAGGCCTCCGTGGCCACCACGATCATGGGTGAGACCCTCCAGAACCCGTCCTGGGACCCCCAAAATCCACCCCCCAAAACCCTCCCTGGGACCCCCAAAAACAACCCCCAAAACCTGCCCCTCAGGGACCCCAAAATCTGCCCCTCAGGGACCCCAAAAACCACCCCAAAACCACCCCAAAACCCACCCACCGAGTCCTTCATCACCCCCAACCTCTCCCTCATCCTCGGGGCCTCCACAATCATGGGTGAGACCCCCAAAACCCGCCCTGGGACCGCCAAAAACCACCCCCCAAAACCTGCCCCTTAAGAACCCTAAACCCCGCCAAAATTACCCCAAACCCCTCTCCTTTTCCTCTCCCTGAACTCCTGCTACCCCCAATCTTTTTGTTTTTTAGGGTCCCTCCCTCCTTTCCCCCCAGATTTTTGGGTCCCCTCCCTGACCCCTCTGTATTTTGGGGGTCCCCTCCTCATTCCAAGGGTCTCAGGGGGTCTCTCCCCCCTATATTTTGGGGTCTTGCCCCCTTTTCTTTCTCTCCAAACTCCCGCTTCCCTCAGCCTGTGTATTTTTGGGGTCCCCCCCTGGATTTAGGGGTCCCCCCCAACCCCTCTGTATTTTGGGGGTCCCCCCCTCATTCCAAGGGTCTCAGAGGGGTCTCAATCCCCTCTCCAAGTCCCTTCATATTTTGGGATCTTTCTCCCTTTTCCCCCTTCTCTCTAAACTCCCACGTCCGTCACCCTCTATATTTTTGGGATCCCCTGGATTTTGGGGTCCCCCTCGACCCCTCTGTATTTTGGGGGTCCCCCCTTCATTCCAGGAGTCTCAGGGGGTCTCCTCCCCTTTCCAAGCCCCCCCCCCATCTTTTGGGGTCTTCCCTTTTCTTCCCCCTTTTCCGTCTCTCCAAAGTCCCGCTTCCCTCACCCTGTGTATTTTTGGGATCCCCCTGGATTTTGGGGTCCCCCCGGACCCCTCTGTATTTTGGGGGTCCCCCCCTCATTGCAGGGGTCGCGGGGGGTCTCACCCCCCTCTCCAAGCTGCCGGCCTGTAACATCCTGCTGCTGGGGGCCCAGCGTCGGACCCTCTCGGGCTTCTCGTCCACGTCGGTGCTGCCCCACACGGGCTTCATCTACCACAGCGACATCGTGCAGTCCCTGCTGCCGGTGGGTTCCCCTCTCAGATTTGGGGGGGTGTTTCTTCTTTTCATATTTCCCTCCGTTTTCCTCCTCACATTTTCCTCCTTTTCCTCTCACATTTCCTGCCCTTTTCTGCTCACCTTTCCCACCATTTTCCCTTCACATTTCCCCCCCTTTTCCCTTCACGTTTCACCCCCTTTTCCCCTCACGTTTCCCGCCCTTTTCCCCTCACGTTTCCCGCCCTTTTCCCCTCACGTTTCCCGCCCTTTTCCCCTCACCTTTCCCCCGCTTTTCCCCTCACGTTTCCTGCCATTTTCCCCTCACCTTTCCACCATTTTCCGAAATCCCCTGAAATCCCCCCTGACCTGCAGGATCTGAGGAGGAAGGCCGCCAGGCTGGTGGCGGCCAAGTGCACCTTGGCGCCACGGGTGGACTCGTTCCACGAGAGCCAGGATGGGAAGGTGGGACCCAAAACGCACCTGGGGGACCCCAAAACTCACCTGGGGGACCCCAAAATATCCCTGAACCCAAACACC